CTTCTTCCTCAACTTCAAGACTCCAGAAAACGTGAAGGATTATTTTGTTTTTTCTTGAATAAAGCGATATATATTTTTGTACTTGGGCCAGTCTTTTGTTACATGGACAATCTGTGGGAGAAACCATTCCGTGCCTATTGGGATTCGACAGACTCGACACACTGATGAAGGGCATTGGGAACTGCATTTGATTGGTTGAAAAGTTACCAGCATCAAATCATTCATGGGACTTGGACGGGATGATTCAGAGACGGATTCACTTTTGTAAACGCTGCCGAACAAGCTGTTTTTTGATACATTCAGGGTCGTTTCATCATAAATGTTTGGAGGGTTTTTAAAAGTATCTACAAATGATTTATTGTAAATATATAAATGCAAATGTGTATTATATACCCTCAGCTGTAAAAGACAAAAAACATTTTTAAATATTGTTTAGAACCAGAGCGTTGCAGTCTAGAAGACACTGTTGATGTGCGAAACATTTAATCATATAAGAAAAGGTTTATTTGAATAATTAACGTGTATATTTGTAAAGATATTTATAGAGATAACATGTGGTTCCTAAGAAAAGTTTAGTCTAGGGTTTAGTACTGTACGCAGATTTTATTTTGATTTTTGTAACTTATTTTATGGCAGAACGTGAACTGCAAGCTTCTCTAAGTTTGTTCCATCTTATATTTTGGTTTGTTTACAAGTTTTTAAAGATCGAATGTATGAAAGAGAGAAGACTATTGTGTAAAGTGTGGACCGAGCCCCAGCGGAGTCTCTTGGTTTAGAAAAGTTGATGTTTGCAAAAAGCAACAATGAGCTCTTGCTGGGCAAGATAAAGCAGCGCTTCACTCGTTGTGCCAGAGCGGCCTTTCAGCACGACTGAAAACACATGTTTTTATGAACGCCATCCACGCCCACTTCGGCTTTCTGAATAAAACTCCATCTGATTCATCTTTTTAACTTCAGAGATGGTTCATCTGTGTAGCCAGAGCATAGAGAAATATATACAGACATAGACAGTATTTGTTTTTATTCTGAAGGCCGCTGGCTGCAGCGTGGAGCTAAAGCTAAAGGCAGGTTGTTACTGCTCCTATCGCTGCTGTCTAGTATTAAAACTGAAATGAAGGAAAACTGTGTAGTCCTCAGACGTCACAGGTTTTAATATTTCTAAGCAGTATAATTGTATCAGTTTGTCTGAGGAAACTGTAAAAAGTGCCAAATTGAGTCTTATTTGCTCTTGATTTGCTGCAATAGTGGCGAGTGCAGTGAAGGATCATGGGATGGCCAAACCAACATCCTTTTCTTCAGCTGATCCAAAACACAAACCAATGTTTACACAGAGCCGCTTCGCTAAAGCTGAAGGTTGAGACGCTGAGACACTTGCTGCTACACACGTCACTGTGCAATGGCCTTTTTCAGTATTCGATGGATCCTCATGGAAACAGATGGATAGAAAGATGGACACTATGAGGCCCAACGTGACTAGTGCATTACGTAATATTCAGATTTTTGCTTCGTTTTAACAATGAAGAGAATAATGCAAAATCTGACCCCAATTCCAAAAATATATTCAAGATGGCGCTGTGGAGAAACGACCTCATTTTGAGCTCGTTCCCATCTTTCTATTCAGTCTGGTCTTACCCCCAACACGTTTGTGAGTACTTAAACATATTTATTTGTTGCTTTGCTGTAAATGTTCTTTCTTTAAAAATGCCAGTTTTTACTGTCAGCATAGTAAAGGCCGCTGAACAGTAAACTATAACACTAAACAGAAAATAGAATCATGTTTGGGCTTTTCCCTCGAATATCTTTGGTGTTGGTCCGAGTCTGAAGTGCCTGGAGGGTTTTACAGTGGTATGATTTATTTGAATGTAAAATAAAATGACAAAAATAATAGATAATTTACTTTGCTATTAAAAGGCACTTGTTGATGGTATAAATTATTCTTCCATGCTGAGTAAAAAGGCTTTCCCTATGGTGAGAGTGTTCTATTCAGCAGTATTTTGCCACGAGCTCGATGTCTGAAAGCTGATCCAGGCCGTGCTGATCCAGGCCGTGCTGTATTTATCTGACTTTCATGCTTTTATTTTGAAATAATCACTACTTCATACAGAGGTGTAGCTTTTGGCAGCGAATAAAGTCGAGATGAAATGGACACCAAGCATTTTCTATAATAAGCTGTTTTTAACATGTTTTGTAACAGAACACAATCTGCATCGAATAAAATAAAACTGTTGAAAACGACAAACTGCATGTGGCGCTGATTGTCTTTGAACAATCGACTGAATTAAGATTATGACATTACCTCAACTCAGTCACTGCTGCTATGTTAGTATGTGAGACAGCTTTTATTGCATTTTAACCAAATCAGTCTGAAGTGCAGCTTAATCAAACCAACACATATGGTCCAGTTATGTAAATGTAATTACTGGGTCACATCTGGTTGTTTTTGATCATGTATTCTATCACAAGAAGGTTAGGTGAAAGTCATGAATATTGAGTTTGTTGAGTTTAAATTGTGTTTAAAGTGTCCCCCTGCACTGCCACCTTAACGTGGGGGAGTTTGAGTGCTAGTAGGACCTCCCATGGTACACAGGTCTTTATGCCCCTGGTTCGGAGAGTCCATGGAGCATGACTATCGGTCGGCCTGATTGTTGCTGTGGAAACTGTGTGAATCTCGGATCCAGAAGGAGCAGTGTGGTTTTGGCCCGGCCGCGGAACACTGGACCAGCTCTATACTCTCCATCGGATACTCGAGGGTTCATGGGAGTTCGCCCAACCTGTCCACATGTGCTTTGTGGATTTGGAGAAGGCGTTCGACCGTGTTCCCCGGGGTGTCCTTTGGGGGGGTTCTCCAGGAGTACGGGGTCCACCCTGGACCTCAGCAGAGGACCCTCCTCTGCTGAGGGCCATTAGGTCCCTGCATGACCGGAGCCAAAGCTGTGTTCACATCAGCAGTAAGTCACCCCAAGGCTGCCCTTTGTCACCGGTTCTGTTCACTGTCTTTATGGACAGAATTTCTAGGCACTGCCAGGGGCCGGAGGGGGTCCGGTTCAGAAACCACAGCCAAGGGCCGGACAGGGTCCTGTTCGGAGACCACAGGATTCCATCTCAGCTGCTTGCGGACAATGTTGTCCTGTTGGCTCCAATGAACCAGGACCTGCAACATGGCTGCAAACTGTCCCAGTGCGAGTGTGAAGCGGCTGGGATTCAGCTCCAAATCTGAGGCCATGGTGCTCGACCTGAAAAAGGTGCCTTGCCCTCTCCAGGTGGGAGGAGAGGTCCTTCCTCAAGTGGAGGAGTTCAAGGGTCTTGTTCTCAGTGAGGGAAGGATGAAGCGGATTGACAGGCGTGTTTATAGTTTATTCGGTTGGGACAGTACATGTTAATGAACACATCACTCCGGATTGTAGCCTTGGGCTGATTTGCATCCGTGTCCCACATTCGCATTCACAAACACACAGTCATTCACCCTGAACTATTGTGCATGTTTTTAGAAAACCGGAGCACCCGGAGGAAACCTACGCAGACACAGGGAGAACATGCAAACTCCACTCAGAAAGGCCCAGTTCCGACCAGGATTCGAACCCACGACCTTCTTGCTGAGAAGCAAGAGTGCTAACCACTCAGCCACAGTGCCGCCCACCGTGCAGCATGTGCAGTGATGCGGTCGCTGTATCGGACCGTTGTGGTAAAGAGGGAACAGCGTCTGCAGTCAGAGCTGTTGTGGTGAAAAGGGGTAGAGCTGCTGCTCCCTTAGGGGAGATGTTGATGGTTCCGCGTTGTGATATGTGTGTTTTAAGAGTAAGAGTTTTCTGTAAAGTTTGTTTTAAGCAGTCCACTGCTCTTGTGAAACTACACAGCTGCTGTGTGATAGCAGTCATAATGACTCCTGTGAAACTACACTGCTGCTGTGTGATCGCAGTCATAATGACTCCTGTGAAACTACACTGCTGCTGTGTGATCGCAGCTATATTGACTCAAATTGCATTAAAAGTGACATTCGTGTCTTAATTCGTTCGTATTTTAACTTTTAAAGCAATTCACGGACTTCATGGGCGCCATCTTGGATTGCTTTGGCTGCCGTGAGACGCGCATGTGCAGGTTTGCATTACATCATTAACAGCTGAGGCAGATCTCGACGGGCAGACCAACTCCACAGAACACTGGGCACGTCCCACCGGGAGGAGGCCAAAGGTCATAACTTCAAAGATTTAACCTGTAACTGCCTCGTGATTCCTGTTCAGTGTAGATGAAGCAGTTCATTGTATTCAAGGTAAAACAATAACATTCACTTTTTTAAGCAAGTGGCAGACAATCCTACAAGAAAGTTGTATAAATGGAATAGTATATGGTGTTATTATATGACAAAGCTGATTATCTAAGATTCAAGAGTTTGCAACTCCATTTAGTTCTAATATATTAAATTTAATATAATATATAATATCTAATATATTAGCATTTCTCTGGCCTTTCCCACCGCAAACACACATATTTGTCCTTTTTATTCTGATAAAATATCTGATGCACTGGGTCTGCTGTGAACCGAGCACACATCCGTGAGCCGGACACAGCGTCTGTCAAAAGGCTTTTCAAACATCTCACGATAGCAGCCGGTGTCAGTGTCTGAGGCCCTTTCTTTTTGAGAAATATCGTCTGAAAACCACAGTCTCTGCAGCAGCGAGTCTTGTTTGAGTCTTGTTGTTTGTGAATGTTTCGTCTGTGTACTTCGTGGTTGGTGCAACATGAGACAGACAACAAACTGTGGTCCTAGTGACGCAGGAAGAATCTGAAAGTGAAACGAGGTGTAAACTGTCGGAGAAGTGTTTGGATGTCGAGGAACACAACAGAATCCTATTGAGGTAAAACTGTTTTCTGAGATTATGATTCACTTTTGATATTTGCTGAATATAAATGTGTTTCTCTTTCTCACCAGTGCCATATTCAGAATGTTCTGACACAATCAAAAACAAATGCACAATGGTTCTAAGGTTGCATTTGAACCTACGGTGTTGCATGTTATTGAGTAGATTGTCACTTATTAGTTAAAAAAATACATTCTTAAAATTGGATGATTTTGGTGCTTTGAAAATAAGTGATTTAAAGTGAGAAGCCTCTCCACAGATACATAACTTATAACTTAGTTATAGTATTAGTATTTTTTTGTAAAAGGCCATTCGTACTTAATGTAATTTTAATTTTAAAGCCTGTCTTAAAATCTAGTCTATTTAAAATGTATCTTTATATTTATCTGAAATTAATTTGAACCTTCTTCCAACAAAAGAGTAAAAAAGTACATTATATGAAGGCACTGTATATGAGCATGTGGGGGCGACAATAGCTCAGTTGGTAGAGCATTGGCATTTGGGCTTGAAGGTTGTGGGTTCGAATCCACCTCAAGACCTATTTCACGACTCCCACTGATGACTGCTGTCGTGTCCTTGGGCAGTGAGGGACGGATCGGTGCGGTTATGTTCACGAGTGAGGGACGGATCGGTGCGGTTATGTTCACGAGTGAGTGACAGATCGGTGCGGTTATGTTCACGAGTGAGGGACGGATCGGTGCGGTTATGTTCACGAGTGAGGGACGGATCGGTGCGGTTATGTTCACGAGTGAGGGACGGACGGATCGGTGCGGTTATGTTCACGAGTGAGGGACGGATCGGTGCGGTTATGTTCACGAGTGAGGGACGGATCGGTGCGGTTATGTTCACGAGTGAGGGACGGATCGGTGCGGTTATGTTCACGAGTGAGGGACGGATCGGTGCGGTTATGTTCACGAGTGAGGGACGGATCGGTGCGGTTATGTTCACGAGTGAGGGACGGATCGGTGCGGTTATGTTCACGAGTGAGGGACGGATCGGTGCGGTTATGTTCAGGATGTGAGGGACGGATCGGTGCGGTTATGTTCACGAGTGACAGATCGGTGCGGTTATGTTCACGAGTGACAGATCGGTGCGGTTATGTTCACGAGTGACAGATCGGTGCGGTTATGTTCACGAGTGACAGATCGGTGCGGTTATGTTCACGAGTGACGGATAGGTGCGGTTATGTTCACGAGTGACGGATCGGTGCGGTTATGTTCACGAGTGACAGATCGGTGCGGTTATGTTCACGAGTGAGGGATCGGTGCGGTTATGTTCACGAGTGACAGATCGGTGCGGTTATGTTCACGAGTGACAGATCGGTGCGGTTATGTTCACGAGTGACAGATAGGTGCGGTTATGTTCACGAGTGACGGATCGGTGCGGTTATGTTCACGAGTGAGTGACAGATCGGTGCGGTTATGTTCACGAGTGAGTGACAGATCGGTGCGGTTATGTTCACGAGTGACGGATCGGTGCGGTTATGTTCACGAGTGACAGATCGGTGCGGTTATGTTCACGAGTGAGGGATCGGTGCGGTTATGTTCACGAGTGACAGATCGGTGCGGTTATGTTCACGAGTGAGTGACAGATCGGTGCGGTTATGTTCACGAGTGAGTGACAGATCGGTGCGGTTATGTTCACGAGTGAGTGACAGATCGGTGCGGTTATGTTCACGAGTGACGGATCGGTGCGGTTATGTTCACGAGTGAGTGACAGATCGGTGCGGTTATGTTCACGAGTGAGTGACAGATCGGTGCGGTTATGTTCACGAGTGAGTGACAGATCGGTGCGGTTATGTTCACGAGTGAGGGACGGATCGGTGCGGTTATGTTCACGAGTGACGGATCGGTGCGGTTATGTTCACGAGTGAGGGATCGGTGCGGTTATGTTCACGAGTGACAGATCGGTGCGGTTATGTTCACGAGTGAGTGACAGATCGGTGCGGTTATGTTCACGAGTGAGTGACAGATCGGTGCGGTGATGTGGTCGTTGTTGTAAAGATCTGAGTAAAAGGCTCTGGGGTTAAAGGTCAGTCTCTCTCTGGGGTTAAAGGTCAGTCTCTCTCTCTCACCTTCGGTCATGAAGGACGAGGGATGCAAGTGCTCAAAAGAGTTTCTTCAGCTTTTTCCACCCATGAAAATTGCTTAAGCGCTCACGCACATGGGAGGTGCTCGGAATAGAGCCGCTACTTCTCCATGTTGAGAGAAGCCAGCTGAGGCTCTGGTTTCAGTTTTATGAATCTGGGTGCACGGCTTATTCTGCTGCCCTTGCGACCCGGCAACGGATAAAGGGGAAGAAAATAGAAAGAGGATTGGACATTTAACTTTCTCATTGAAAACAGTGTTCTTCTCATTATCTGCTGTAGGTTTATGACCTTTTCATAATTATTGCACTGTTCACTTCAGAATGGTTCCATTATTAGACTTTTTAAAAATAACTTTCTCTTTTTACAAATAAAATTAACTTTCAATAATCAGATCAAATGCTTTCCCAACAGGACACCCACAGAGGGTGTCCTGTGTCCCTCTGCCCCTCAGACCCAGCACGTCCTGAGGGGAACATCCTGCTCTTTCCCTGGGTCGCTCAAGTGGACCATTCACGGCGGTCCCGGCCCAAAGGGAGGGGGTGTTTTTGGAGCTAAATAGATGTTTCTGTGTGGGACGTGTTTGCTTTGCTCCCTCAAACACACTGGAGTTTTGTGGCAGCCACGGTCCTCCTGTCGTTTATCAAACCCTCACTCTCCGCTGCCGACCTCCAGACGCCCCAAATGTCCCAGGGCGACATAAGCACTTTTGAAAAGGCCGTAAGAAGAGTTTTTGTACGAACGTTCACAACAAACCATGGATTGACCAAGCACTCAATGTGATTTATACCTACTTCATGACTATTTACAGAGCTGTAAAATGTCATTTGCAGCTTCTTCATTCATGAGTAACTGTAGGCCATTCATTCATTTACTTTATCGTTTCCATTGTAGATGATGAAGTTATGTTTAGGTCATGTCTCTAAAAGAGGGCGCCATGGAAGCACAGTCATCACTTTACATGGGCTTCTCACCCCTTTTTAATAACTTGAAAGTTTAATAGACAAAGGAGTTAGAGTTAGGGTCTATTTAGTAAGTAATTAAGTAAGTAATCTTTATTTATATAGCACCTTTCACAGACCAGAGACACAAAGACTTTTACAATTGTGGGCATTTGTCCCTGACTCCACACAGGGAGTGGGGTTGCCAGTACTGGAGGCGCATGCTAGACCTATGATAATGATTTAAGGCTTCAGCCCACTTCTGGAGACTGCTTATTCTCGAAGCTACTGTTGAGACTTGGCTTCCTACTTCACTGTGAGATTATTTACTTTTAAATAAATGTTTTCAATTAAATTAATATTTTCTCTATATGTCCAAATACCAGTTACAGAAGCAAACATATTCAATCAAATATACTCCTAATCTACATTATTGAGTCTCTTCTCCCAACATGATGTACATGTGATGGACATACAGTGCCTTGCGAAAGTATTCGGCCCCCTTGAACCTGTCAACATTTCGCCACATTTCAGGCTTCAAACATAAAGATATAAAATTTTTATTTTTTGTCATGAATCAACAACAAGTGGGACACAATCGTGAAGTGGACCAAAATTTATTGGATAATTTAAACTTTTTTAACAAATAAAAAACTGAAAAGTGGGGCGTGCAATATTATTGGGCCCCTTTACTTTCAGTGCAGCAAACTCAGTCCAGAAGTTCAGTGAGGATCTTTGAATGATCCAATGTTGTCCTAAATGACTGATGATGATAAATAGAATGCCCCTGTGTGTAATCAAGTCTCCGTATAAATGCACCTGCTCTTTGATAGTCTCAGGGTTCTGTTTAAAGCACAGAGAGAACCATGAAGACAAAGGAACACACCAGGCAGGTCCGAGATACTGTTGTGGAGAAGTTTAAAGCCGGATTTGGATACAAAAAGATTTCCCAAGCTTTAAACATCTCAAGGAGCACTGTGCAAGCAATTATATTGAAATGGAAGGAGTATCAGACCACTGCAAATCTACCAAGACCCGGCCGTCCCTCCAAACTTTCATCTCAAACAAGGAGAAGACTTAAATGTAGCAAATTCATTCTGTCTTCTTATGTTTATGGCTTTTAGGTTCTTCTAATAAGACAATTAAAGCAAAACTAGCTTTGTTTTGCTTTAATTGTCTTATTAGAAGAACCTAAAAGCCAAGGAGAAGACTGATCAGAGATGCAGTCAAGAGGCCCATGATCACTCTGGATGAACTGCAGATAACTACAGCTGAGGTGGGAGAGTCTGTCCATAGGACAACAATCAGTCGTGCACTGCGCAAATCTGGCCTTTATGGAAGAGTGGCCATTTCTCAAAGATATCCATAAAAAGTCTCTTAAAGTTTGCCACAAGCCACCTGGGAAACACACCAAACATGTGGAAGAAGGTGCTCTGGTCAGATGAAACCAAAATCAAACTTTTTGGCCACAATGCAAAACGATATGTTTGGCGTAAAAGCAACACAGCTCATCACCCTGAACACACCATCCCCACCTCAGCTGTAGTTATCTGCAGTTCATCCAGAGTGATCATGGGCCTCTTGGCTGCATCTCTGATCAGTCTTCTCCTTGTTTGAGATGAAAGTTTGGAGGGACGGCCGGGTCTTGGTAGATTTGCAGTGGTCTGATACTCCTTCCATTTCAATATAACTGCTTGCACAGTACTACTTGAGATGTTTAAAGCTTGGGAAATATTTTTGTATCCAAATCCGGCTTTAAACTTCTCCTTCTCCTCTCACTTATCCTTTGTCTTCATGGTTCTCTCTGCGCTTTAAACAGAACCCAGAGACTATCAAAGAGCAGTTGATCACACACAGGTGCATTCTATTTATCATCATCAGTCATTTAGGACAACATTGGATCATTCAAAGATCCTCACTGAACTTCTGGACTGAGTTTGCTGCACTGAAAGTAAAGGGGCCCAATAATATTGCACGCCCCACTTTTCAGTTTTTTATTTGTTAAAAAAGTTTAAATTATCCAATACATTTCATTCCACTTCACGATTGTGTCCCACTTGTTGTTGATTCATGACAAAAAATTAAAATTGTATATCTTTATGTTTGAAGACTGAAATATGGCAAAATGTTGAAAGGTTCAAGGGGGCCGAATACTTTCGCAAGGCACTGTATGATGTTTTGTTTGGGTGTACCCCTGTCCCCGCAGTGATAGGACGCCCGGTGGGTGTGTGAAAGTGGACCTTGGTATGTTGTTACTGTAAGTGTGCCAAATCAGCGATTATCCCCAGTGCAGCAGGACAGGCGTGTCGCAGAGAGACGCAGGGTAACAGGTGCAGCGTAACACTATCCCAGGACGATGGGGTCTCCTCTGAGCCCGGAGGTCCCAGTGAGGAGCAGGAATAGAGCTGATGATAGTTCACAGAGCAACACGGGACGTCCCAGAGACAGAGTGCCTCTAAACACTTCAGGAACAATCACAAGAGAAAGTAACCAACAGTGAGGGGTCAACATTCACATGTATACAGGAAGGTCAGAGGTCACATCTGTGTGGACCACTTTTGTATGGATGGTATTAGGGGTGCAACGGTTTGAAAAAATCACGTTTCGGATCATACCTCGGTTCAGAGCCCTCGGTTCGGTTCATTTTTTGAATCAGCAAAAAAAAATTGTTTTGTCTTTTTTTAAAAACACTTTGTTATTAATAAATTAAAATGTATAAAATAAAATTAAAGTGCACAAGGCAAATTTTTCCTACTGAATAATCAAGGCTCCTGTGGACTCAGCACCTGCAAAAGGATCAGTGAGGGGCTGGTGCTCTGTGTACTGGGACAGCTCTGACTGCCACCCCCCTGACCTAGAAATGGATTAAGGGGAAGAAAATGGATGGATGAATCCATCCAATTATGTTTTTTTAACATAATCAATGATAAACAACCCAAAGTGCAACTTAAGAAGGCACTTTATGAGGGTATTTACCCTCATACATTAAACCACCTGATTCTCCCGAGGAGGCGCTCCATTCTGGGCCCAGCCTCATTCACTGCATTTATTTAATTTTTGGCATTATCAATTGTGACTTGAATATTAGTACTGGGCCTTTGTCTTCCATTCCTCTGCTGCTGTGTCAGTACCTGAGCTGTGTGTCAGTACCTGAGCTGTGTGTCAGTACCTGCGCTGTGTGTCAGTACCTGTGCTGTGTGTCAGTACCTGCGCCCTGTGTCAGTACCTGTGCTGTGTGTCAGTACCTGTGCTGTGTGTCAGTACCTGCGCTGTGTGTCAGTACCTGAGCTGTGTGTCAGTACCTGAGCTGTGTGTCAGTACCTGTGCTGTGTGTCAGTACCTGCGCTGTGTGTCAGTACCTGAGCTGTGTGTCAGTACCTGCGCTGTGTGTCAGTACCTGAGCTGTGTGTCAGTACCTGTGCTGTGTGTCAGTACCTGTGCTGTGTGTCAGTACCTGCGCTGTGTGTCAGTACCTGTGCTGTGTGTCAGTACCTGAGCTGTGTGTCAGTACCTGAGCTGTGTGTCAGTACCTGTGCTGTGTGTCAGTACCTGTGCTGTGTGTCAGTACCTGAGCTGTGTGTCTGTACCTGTGCTGTGTGTCAGTACCTGTGCTGTGTGTCAGTACCTGTGTTGTGTGTCAGTACCTGAGCTGTGTGTCAGTACCTGAGCTGTGTGTCAGTACCTGAGCTGTGTGTCAGTACCTGTGCTGTGTGTCAGTACCTGTGCTGTGTGTCAGTACCTGAGCTGTGTGTCTGTACCTGTGCTGTGTGTCAGTACCTGAGCTGTGTGTCAGTACCTGTGCTGTGTGTCAGTACCTGTGCTGTGTGTCAGTACCTGAGCTGTGTGTCTGTACCTGTGCTGTGTGTCAGTACCTGAGCTGTGTGTCAGTACCTGTGCTGTGTGTCAGTACCTGTGTTGTGTGTCAGTACCTGAGCTGTGTGTCAGTACCTGAGCTGTGTGTCTGTACCTGTGCTGTGTGTCAGTACCTGTGCTGTGTGTCAGTACCTGTGTTGTGTGTCAGTACCTGAGCTGTGTGTCAGTACCTGAGCTGTGTGTCAGTACCTGAGCTGTGTGTCAGTACCTGTGCTGTGTGTCAGTACCTGTGCTGTGTGTCAGTACCTGAGCTGTGTGTCTGTACCTGTGCTGTGTGTCAGTACCTGAGCTGTGTGTCAGTACCTGTGCTGTGTGTCAGTACCTGAGCTGTGTGTCTGTACCTGTGCTGTGTGTCAGTACCTGTGCTGTGTGTCAGTACCTGTGTTGTGTGTCAGTACCTGAGCTGTGTGTCAGTACCTGTGCTGTGTGTCAGTACCTGTGCTGTGTGTCAGTACCTGTGCTGTGTGTCAGTACCTGAGCTGTGTGTCAGTACCTGCGCTGTGTGTCAGTACCTGAGCTGTGTGTCAGTACCTGTGCTGTGTGTCAGTACCTGTGCTGTGTGTCAGTACCTGTGCTGTGTGTCAGTACCTGAGCTGTGTGTCAGTACCTGTGCTGTGTGTCAGTACCTGAGCTGTGTGTCAGTACCTGAGCTGTGTGTCAGTACCTGAGCTGTGTGTCTGTACCTGTGCTGTGTGTCAGTACCTGTGCTGTGTGTCAGTACCTGTGTTGTGTGTCAGTACCTGA